GGGATGGTAAGACCTCTTTTCTTTATATTATTAATAGATTATTATTACGAATTAAAAGAAGTATCTTAAAAATATTTATTTATTGTTAGATTAAATTATATATAGTTTTTGTATTTAAAAATATTTAGTTATATAAAAATAAGATGACTTAAATATATTTTTAATTCTTTAGATTTAAGATAATTTTTTTTTGTTCTTCAAATTTAAAATTGTTGTTTTTAGTCTATGTAATTTTTAAAAATCTTGTTTTAGTCCCTTAGATCATCAATAACATATTTGAAAGTGACTAATTAAGACAGTTATGCAATATTAATTAATGTGATAGTTTCACTAATAAAAATATTAATAGATAAATTTTATATAATAATATTTGATAAATTTTTTAATAAAATTTAAATATAAAGACTAAAATAAATTTTTTTAAAATTATAAAAACTAAAAATAATAATTTTAAATTTAAAAAATTAAAAATAAAAATCTTAAATTGGAGCGTCTAAAAATATATTTAAGCCATATAAGATTTATGGTATATGGTAAAACACTGTTAACCGGAGGGGAGTGGCGTAGCGTATTGCGTTGAAGTGAGAGAGTGGATGGGGGAGAGAAGGAACGGAAAAGGTAGCGTGAGCTTAGAGGGAGAGAAGGTGATATTGGTCCCTTACATGGAGGCCCACGTGCCCAAATATCACGAATGGATGAAGGACCCTTCTCTCCTTCAAGCCACTGCCTCCGAGCCCCTCACGCTCCAACAGGAGTACCACATGCAACTCTCCTGGTCCCAAGACCCTAACAGTTCGCTTTTCCCTCTATCTCTATATATTTATCGTAACACAACGCTTGAGACTTATTCCTCAACCCATTTCTGCAGAGGAGACCTTCATTGTGCTGGACAAGGACTTGGTTCTTGGCGATTTCTCCCACGGGGAACCCCACCTTGAAGGTAGATTATGTTATGTTAGGGGTAGTTTTAAAATATATATAGGTTTAAATATAAGAAAATTTTATTATTATCAACTAAACAAACCAATTTCCACCTAAACTGGTTGATTCAAGTGGTTGCGACTTTTTTTTTTTTTTTTAACTAAATTGTTCAAAATTCGAATCCTAGTCCCGGGTATGGTAAAATTATATTGGAAGGGGAATATTTACCATTTTCCTTCAACACTGGTTGGCTCAAGTGGTTGTGGCCTGTGTCTTTTAATTAAGTTGTTCAAAATTTCAATCATGGTTCGGTTTGGAATAAATTATATTGGAAGGAGAATATTTACTTTGTGTACCCTCAAGGTTCTCAACATATATTGGTCACTACTAGATATTAGTCATTATTTTGACAATAGATACTTCGTAACAATATCATGGCTAATTGGGTCTTAAAAAAAAGGACAAGAGGAATTGCTATTATTTGGTACAATTGTGTTTTGATTTGGGTTAAATGAAATGATCTTTCTCAAATTCCAATTTTATAATCCATAATTATGTCATTTGGTATAAATTGGGGAGGTAGAAAATTTTCTGAGTATTTAACTCATTCTCATCCATAATTGATGTTTAGTTAAGATGGGGAACTATTTATTTAGGTAGTCAGTCTATGGCTATTATGTAGGGTACTTTTGTAACTGCCAAATATTATGGTAAAATTGGATACTAATATATGCTATTTGCAGCAATGGTTGGTGATGTAAATATATTTATGAATGATTTGGATAATCCTCATGTGGCAGAGGTTGAAATTATGATAGCTGAACCAAAGAGGTACCTAATTTGGCTTTCATTTCATGAACTACAAAACTAGTTGCTGAACTATCTGTGCATTGCCATTATCATAATTGGTTTACCTGTTGTTTCTCGGTACTCATTGCTGCCTGTGTTTCATACATCGTTTATCTTATTGCAACTGAATTTCCTTCTAGTATTTGAGCAAAAATAAAAATGGAGTGGATGAGGAGATTGTATAGTAGCACTATCTATGTATAATTCTTGGTAAATGGCTTAGTAGTTTCCCAAACAAAAATCAGAGCTGGCAAGAATACGAGAATATAGAAGAAAATTACTTGAATATCACCTTTATAAATCAGCTAGGGCACATCATTTAGTCTACTGATCTCTGTTGGTGGTGAACCTTATTCTCTATTTGTAAATTTTCATATCTTAAACATCTGAAGAAATGCTTATAATATGAATTTGTTCTGAATTAACTGTATGCTTTCCTATCCTATTCTGGCTTATGTCTCATTTTTTATGTGTGAACTTAGGTGTTTCCATTGCAATTTTGAAAGATACTTCTATTCAATCATTTTCTCTGTGATGAGAAGAGTATATAAAACATTCCAGACCATGAATTTACTTTTTGAAAGTTTATATTGTTTAGTTCTGTACTCTGAGGTCTATGCTCCAACTTTTAATCATCTGATTATGCACGTGCAAGAGATAAAAAGCCTTTCCTCGGTTTGCATTTAATAGCCTAATGTTTTTGGTTGATTTGGTCTTTGACAGCAAGTATTAAATCTCTTCATTCTAACTACTTTATTAACTTTCTCTTTGCTAGCATAGCCGTAGGAAAGGACTTGCAAAGGAGTCTGTTCTGATGATGATGACCTTTGCTATCAAGAAGTTAGGAATTACTAGCTTTCAAGTTAAAATTGGAGACTCCAATGGAGCATCACTTGACCTGTTCCAAAAATTGGTTTGTTTGCTTATTTTTTATCTTTCCTTTTATATTAAAGGAATGATGTGTCTTACCACTGTACATATAGCTTATTTTGAGTGATTGCCAGACAGTGATGCTTTTGGTTGACATAATTTTCAGTATTGCTCAACATTTGAATACTTGTCAAAGATACCAGGATACCATTCCTCACATATATCTCCTCCCTCCCTATTCATTTCAAAATCTGTGACCTAAAATCATTGAATAAATCACATTATTGTATGTCATTGGTAAAGAAAAATGTATTTTTGCCTTACATTTTTTATGAAACATTTTGATATACAATCATTAATTTTTTAACCATGATAATCCTATAGATTGATTTCATGTACTCCAGTGTTAAGAAGCATCTCCTCACTCTCTTTTTTTCTCTCTCTCTCTCTTGAAACATTGATTTCATGTTCTCTAATATTGACTCAGCTCATGGATTTGGTGTAGGGGTTTGTGGAAACTTCATATAGCAGCATCTTCAAGGAGGTGAGCGTATTTAAATTTCAATGAATGCCCTAACTGTTAGGCTAAAGTACATATGCTTTGTTTAAGCTAAGGAATCTAACTTTCCTTTTTCTCAAATAAACTCTGGTATCAATTATTCTGGCTAAAATGCATATGCTTTGTGCTCATTTAGTAGGAAGTGCAAACTAATTGATTACTCTAAATTGATCTCAGGAATGTAAATTTCCTTAAAACCAACCCTATTCTCAATTATTCTAGACTTATAGTAATGGGTCATGTTTTTGAGTTCTTATGTACTCTGGCAAAAAAGTGTGTCACTTCAGGCCCTGCTGATTGCACAAACAGTTATATGAAAATATTGTTCTGTCTTATTTAATGCACATTTGGAATTTTAGCCATTTATAAATGATTAAATTCAGTTATAATAGATCTTGGCGTAGTTAAAGAAAGTTTTGAGTAACAAGGTATTGCCTTATGTTTAGAAATTTGTTTAGACTTAACTGGTATTAAAAGAAGAAATAAGATGAAATAGAAATTATATTAATATTGGGCCTCCGTAATATAGAGTCTGGATGGTTACAATGCCTAGGGGTAGATTCAATTGCACCCTAAAACTCCAACCCCAATATTACTTTCCTACCCCTTACTTCTCTCAGCACCTTGTCCTCAAGGTGAAAATGATGGGAAACTCTGCTGCAACTTGGTGGCTGATGCCCAAGAATTCTCAAACTCTGATTATTGTTGTCACTGGATCAGGACTTTGAGATCGCCAGAGTTGTTGTAATGATAAGCCAGCAGTCCTCTGGTTGAGGTTGCAATTCCTATTCAGCTAATATTGATTCAGGTAAGGGTTGAACTTGAAGTGGGATTTGGGTGCCTTCTTTAATCTACTAACATGGAAATTGGAAACTTGCATGAATTCTGCTGTTGGGAGGCAGTTTTGATGTATATGCCACCTCTCCGATATAATCCAGGATTTGGAATGAGCCCTAATATCTGGGACCAACTTCTCATTTTTTCTGCAGGCTAAGTATTGGAGTCTAATGGGTTGAGCCTTAAGAAACACCCAATCTCCCACCTGAAAATGAACTTCATGGTGTCTTTTATCTGCTTGTTGTTTCATCCTATGTTGTGCTGTCAGTAATTTCCTTTGAGCTCATCTAACATTTCAATCCTTTCCTTTGCCAATTCATTAACTGCTTCAACCTTAGTGGGAAGTATGGTGGCCCTGATAACAGGGGGTGGTTCTCTACCATAGAAGCCTTGAATGAGGTCATTCCAGTAGATTGATAGTATGTTGTATTAAAACAATATTCTGCCCATGCTAACTATTGAAGCCATTGTTTTGGCTTGTCCCCTGTGAAACACTGTAAGTAATCTTCTATACATCGATTAACAACTTCAGTTGGTCCATCCATCTGAAGATGATAAGCTCCAAAGATTTTCCTTGAGTCATCACCCACCCCAAAACTATTCTGTTTCTTTCTATTTCCTGTGACGAGGGACTTGAAACCTTTTTTCAACTCATTTTGCAACTGAGTCTGATTTCCCTACTTCATATCCAGAAAACCTTTTAAGCATTTCTACAGTCTATGTCAGATAACAGCAAATTACTCATAAGGATTCCCTGCTTCACATCCAGAACACCTTTTAAGCATTTCTACAGTCTATGTCAGATAACAGAAAATTACTCATAAGGATTCCCTGCTTCACATCCAGAACACCTTTTAAGCATTTCTGAAGTCTTTGTTTCTCAATTCATCTCTGGCAATCTGTTGGAAAACCTCCTTAATTGCAGTCATCCCTAGCCCACCGTAGTTGCAGCCTTAATTTTAGCCTCAGGGATGGTGGTTTAGTCCCATATTGATTCTAGATATGGCTAAAGTAGAGCTTATAAAAGCTTGGGTAGTCTTCATTTTATAATTTAGTTTTGTGGGGTTCAATTAGGCCTTAAGACTAAATTCTAAGATTGTATCAAAATCTATCCTATATTTATTGTTGATCCACCTGCATTTCTCACACTCCAGGCCAGTAGCCTTGGGAGTGTTGGAAATTTGCCTTAATTGCAGTCATCCCTAGTCTGCATTAGTTTCAGCTTCTTTGGGGACTGCCTTAATTATAGCCTCAAGGGTGGTAGTTTAGTCCCACATCCTAAGAACAACACTAAGACAATCTTTTTCTCAAATACTGGATTCAATACTTAGAAAGACTCTTCATTTCACCAAAGTTCCTTTAGATTTCTTCTACACTCTGCACCATGGTCCTAAGACAATGATCATGTTTAGAATTGTATTTGTGCAATTCCTCACTAGACTTACAGATCAATTCCACTTCAAAGCCTTCTACTCAAGTCCATTCTTGAATAATTATCAATTGTGCCCAAGGGCAGTTGCGTTGTGCCTGGGCACTTTTTAGAGGAGGCAACAAATCTTCATGTTTTTCGTCAATCTGCATCTTCCTCTTGCTTCTGTTATGCACTTTTACAACATCTTACTGCTTCTTTTTGTGGAAATCTGTTCTGCAACTTTGGCCAAGGCAAATTGGTTGAGTGAGGAGGTGGTGGTGGCTGATAGGAAGAAGAGGCTATTTTTTTTTTTCTTTCAAATTTCTTGGTTCAGAGGGAGTGGTGACTGATGGGAGAACAAGGCTAGGTTTTTTTTTTCTTGGGTGAGAGGGGGTGTAGGGCTTGCACCACAAACAGCTCTATAATTGTTTGGGGGGAAGGGGAGGGGAGAAATTTTTTTATTTTGCTGTTTTTATTGTTAATCATATATAATATATTATTATATTACTATAAGGATTAATAGAATTAGAGTACGACAGCACATTACAGAGGCTTAGGCCCTAACAAACTTATCTCTCAAATGCAACAAGAAAACCATACACAATAATAGTAACTAACTCTATGCATAGAAATGTTTGTGTGTGTGCATACATGCACAAAAAATGATCTTAATTAACAATCACTGTTTATGTTTATGTATTTTTGTATGTTCACTTTCTCATATGATAATGGGTCTCAAAATATTAAGAGGCATTACTTCACAATGTAATACTTTGTTTTGCAAAATAAAGTTTGAAAACAAGATGAATTATATCTTTTAAGAAAGATATATTCATTCACCTCAAAATAAGTTGCTATGTTTTTTCTAATAGTATTACTTTGCAAAAAATACTAAGATATTACTTTTTAATATTTTACATCATATTTTAAGCTGGTTTTCTGAGGTTGAGTTGATAATGGTTTTGAGCCAGTAATAGCTGATAATGGTTTTAGAACATCATAAATTTTAACCATAGATTTTAGAGCTCCTCTACATAGATTTTAACCATTATTTAGAGCATCATAAATGTTTTGATAAATAATGAAAACCTTTAGCTCATGTATATTTTGAGGCTTTGAGCAGTATATTAGAAAGTTCTTGCTTTTATGTTTATTCAGATTTCACATTTGTTGCTGATCATGGTTTTGAGCCAGTAATAGCTCAGGAGTTGTCTTCTTTCTCATCTCTAGACTGTTTAATAATGCCTCGTTCTTAATTTTACAGGTCACTTTGGAGTTGCAAATAACACAGCCCAAGAAGGAGGAGATGCTTGGTTTAATGGGTACTGTGATCAAACATACATAAACCTAGCAATATCTCACTTCCAAGTTATATATTGGTAATAGGATGATCTCTTTGTTTTTCCAAGTTATATATTGGTAACTATTATTACCTTAGTGTAACAATTTGAAATTTCAAGTAAAAGATTCGTATTTGTAATACCTGTTTTGCTATGACCCTTTTTTACCTATTTGTCTCTCTCATCTGGAGTATGAGTTAGTTGCGTAGTGTTATAGTTTCACTAGGGTTCTAAAATGTGACTGTTGATTGCAAGGGAATCTCAAGTCTCTTAGATTAGTATGAAGTCAATTGCAATTGTCATGGAGTGAAGTGGTTGTGGTCCATAAACAAATATCGTTGATTTCCTCATAAGTGCTTGCTTAATGCTTATGATAGCTTCACAATGGTATATATGTTGTTAGTGATGAAAACTGATTCAGAAAATGGGCTAGTACTGTTAGAATGAATAGAAATTCTTATTAATGAGAGCTCTTCTCCCCATTCATTTGCCCCACTTGTGTTTGACTTCAAACAGTGCAATATGTCACTAGGGCCCACAATTAGGAGTTCATAAACTGATAAAAGTAAAATATAGGTATATATAATTGTTCAGTATTTTTTATGTTATTTTGTGTTACTTTTATAAATAGAATGACTATCACATTTTTGTTATTTTATGATTCAGAAATAATTATCTCTTATATCATTTTTATATCTAAATTAAAATGTGATATATGATTATAAAGTATTACTATTGGTTATATATATATATATATATATATATATATTATGTATTACATTTGTCGATTTATATTGCACAAGTTTTTAGCTCATTGTGACGATACTCGAATGTGAACAAATGATAAGAAATTAATTTTTCAAAATAAGAAACATTAACTAAAACTCAAATTATAACGGATATCCTTTTATAATATACATTAAAATCTCTAACTTACATATTGAAACTTTTTCTCTCTACTTTCTTAATTATTGCTCCATGATTCTACTCGACAACACAATTTATAATAAATTTCAATAATTTAACTTTTAAATTATTTTTTTAATGAAAAGATCAATTATATATATATATATAGGGGATTATAATTACATCAGTGTAACTTTTACTAAGTATTACACCGCTCAATAACTTTATATTAAATGTAAATTTTGTAAATTTAACCTTTAGATTAAAAGTTCATATCTCTTGGATCATATATACAAAATTTTATATTAATTTAAGATGATTTGATACTTCATTTTTATAAAACAAATTTGATATAATATATTTATTTCAAAATATACTAAAATATGAACACTTTGATTACCTTCAAGTTGATCAATTTTAATAAAATTTGATATATACGTATAAAGTGATATGAACTTTTAATTTAACGGTTAGATTTACAAAATTCATAATTAATATAAAGTTACTGAACGGTGTAATACTTATTAAAAGTTACACCGGTGTAATTATAACCCCCTCATATATATATATATATATGAAAGAGAACATATTTAGTGAGAGGGGATTTCTTATCTAAGAGTGAAAGGGACACATATTAGCCATTAGATTAAAATAAATAGTTGGAATTAAAAGGTTTATTAAAATCGTCACATGTCTCTTCTCTTTGTGCTACTTTACAATTTGCAGGAACCAAACTAAAATCTTAGATTTCAAACACGCCACAACACTTGCCCCTCTCCCATTTCCAAGCATTTTTGTATCTATGGTGTTGACCCACACCAAAGTGAAATAACTGAACTACTATGCTTCAATGTCCTCTTTAATGATACAATCACAATTCCAAAATGCAACAATTGAGAAAAAAAGGTTGTGTTTTTTATGATGGTTTCCTGCAAGGATAAACCTCAAAAAAAAAAAAAATATATATATATATAT